GTCCCAAATTTGTTGACCTTTTCCTTTTCCTTGGCTGTCCGTAGTTTTTCTGGTAGATATTTAAAGTACAAAAACAAACCCCATAATCTTCTTATACAATAAAGGTGATAAATTAAAAAATGAATAAGAAATAACTCCTTTTGAAAAAAGCATAGGCCATAGAGTATTTTGAAGATTAATGTTTGAAAAATTCCCATTGTTAATATGGTTTTGTTGCAAAAAAAGTAAATATTTCATGCATAACAATTTTCATTGGAAACTAGTGTGTTTAAAAATATTTTCAAATGATACATTTTCGAGTTTGAAGCAATATGTTTAAGTTTACACCAACGGAACATTCAGTGAGTAAATATAGCAGGATGAAAATTTACCAACTCATTTTTTTAAGTTTTTATTTTAATTCCAGTTTACCAGCTCATTTTTAACAAAACTTCTGCCTAAACGGTAGGTAGTGTTGAGCAATGAGTGTCAGGACTTAGGACCAGCCAAGGACAAACTTTCCACCTGCCTCTGTGTGACAGCATGCAGACCAAGGATGTCCATACATAAGCCCACACCCAAATCTTCTAATCCTTTGTTTTCTTCCAATATATATATTTTTTATCAACAACCAAGATATTTTATAAAATTAGGGAATTTTCATTCATAATTGTGTTTATAAAAACATCTAGAAAAATAACAATTTTGAGGAGGATAGTTTTATACCAATAAATAAATAGTTTAAAATTCTGCTTTTTATGTTGATCTTTTTTTACCTTCTATTTTTAGCATTTTTGATTGTATACAACTTACTATAGTGCTTGTGTGCGATTATACATAAATATTAATAAAAGGGGTGATGTTTTTTCTAAACCGAAGTGGTACGTGATTTTCAGAGGTGGGATTAAAAATGTTTACAGTCCTGGCAACTGAAACCCAAAGGAGCAAATTGAATTGATTCAGGGGTCTCAGACCAGAACTGGAACTTGGGTCTGTTTTTTCCTATGTGGGTTTTTTTTTCCATCTTACACCCTTCTAATGTATTTTTATTGCCCTAGGTGAAGAGGATTGTGTTGAAACACATTTACATCTGCTGGAGAATTGGAGCATGAGCAGTGGGACTCACTCTTTTGTTTGGTTATGATACAGCTGGTGGTAGAAACCTGAACTCTCCGAGATACACATCTCCATAGGAAAAGCAGTGGGTGATGGGATAAAACACTAGGTCTCAAACCTGAGTTTCGCTTTTTCCATAAAGAACTGTATTTTTTTGTCCCTTAACTCCTTGATGGTTGGATGCAAGTTTTCTAATTATTTTGTGTCGCCTTCATGGTGATTAGCACTGGGTATGAAGGCAGGATGGTCTAATGGTTAAGAAAATAGTGACTGTTGAGAGTCACAGGGTCTGTGGTATGGCTGTCTACTAGAGGTATAAACTTGACTGATGGCCTTTCCATGCCTTGCTTTTCTCATGTGTAAAACAGAAGTAATAAGTGGGTTACTAATAGACTATATCTCATGAGCTTCTTGTGACCAAGAACTGAGTTAATTCATGTAAAGCTCTTAGAAAAGTGGCTGACAGATAGAATGGTGATAGCTGAGTTTTGGAAGAAAGGATAAAGAAACTATCTTCTAGAACCTTTATTTCAGCTTTTGAGATGAAAGAGGATTGGAATAATCTTAGCAGATTGACAGCATACAGTGCAACTGTGTTCCTAATTCTGGTCTTGATGAGGATTTTGACTTTTATGTATTTATAAATACATACAATTATAAAAAGAATGTCTTTTATGTATTTATAACACTAGGTGGCAGTGTTAGCACAAGATGGGAAATCCAGAGTAGTTTTTGTTTGTTTTTTTCTTTTTTCTTCTCTTGCCTCTCCCAGATTTATAACTTTCTAGTCAGCTTTTGAATCTCTGATCAGTCCAGTATTAGTAGTCTTAGCACATCCCAGAGCTGATTCCTACCAGAGAACGGCTAAAGGATTAACAGGAAATTTAAATGATCATTGTCTCCTATGGGCTTGTAGCATTGTGGAAAAGTTAAGGTGGCTTTTCTACTGTGCAGGAATGGATTAGGGAAGGCTTTAGTGCAGTAAGCAGTGGCCTGGAGAGACCGTGCCTCTCCCCCAGTACGCAGCTTTGAGAGGCTGTCATGTTTCAGGAATGTCCATGCTTCTTCTGCTAATGAGCCACGTACACTTAGCAGTGAGGATTCTGCTGCGGCCATTTCTTGCTGACTCTCTCTGTGGGGGAGGCAAGTCTTTATTTGCTAGAACACTTGGGTCTTGATTTTAAAACTGCCAGTGTTTTAAATAAAAATTTTATTCGTTTTAGATTGTTTACCCGGGGCTCCTTCAAGAAAACAGTAAGCAGACTGCTGGAATTATCACCTGTTAAAATGAAATATGCAGCTGGCCCAAGTGGGCAAAGGCATGAGGACCACAGGGACGTGAGGGCTGCTCTTGCTCCTTCTTTGAACTGCATGTTCACAGTGTTAATTGAGCCCAAAGAGTTCTCATTAGGCAGATCAACCCTTCATTGGATGTCAGCATCTCTTTCTCTCTCTCCATGCACACACACATATTTTTGTTCATTCAAACCACAAATATTGAGTGCCCACTATGAGCCAGGCACTGATATCAAAAATGCAGATAAAGCAGTGAACGAAACAAGTGATGACGCCTCTCTTACAGAGTTTATATCACGGTATGAGACGCACAAATATGGTAGGTGGTAAGTGTTGTGAAGTAAAGTGGTATAAATGGGTAGTAATGGGAAATAAAGGGGATTCCATTTTAGACAGAGTGGCCAAGGAAGGATTGTGAAGTCTAAGCAGACACCTGAATTGCTAAAGACTGAATGGTCCACGACCCCCCATTCATATGTTAAATCCTAATGCTCATTGTGGTGGTATTTGGAGGTGGGGTTTTGGGGAGGTGATTAGGTCATGGGAGTGGAGCCCTCAAGAATGAGATTAGTGTTCTTATAATTGAGGTCTTAGTTGTCTTTTCCACCATGTGAGGGCATAGCGAAATGACATCCATCTAATAACTAGGAAGGGGTATTTCACCAGACACTGAAGCAGTGCCCTGATCTAGGACTTCCCAGCCTCCAAAACTATGAGTAATAAAGCTGTATATAATCTACCAACACATGGTATTCTCTTACAACAACAGCCTGAGGGGACTAAGACATGAATGAAATGAGGTAGTGAATGTGTAGTTTATTAGGGTAAGAACATTTCAGAGGGAGGTGCATACAAATGGTCTGAGGAAATTGGGGGGTGAGGCACTGAGGCAGGAGGGGCAGATACAAACTGATGGGGCCTCAAGCTTGTGAAAATTAGTCACCCTCTTTAAGAGGGAATGCAAAAATAAATACAAGAGTAAATATTTGCGAAAGAAAATCCCAAGAAATTACAAAATTGAAAAAGCTGACAAGTTTTTTCAAGCATCAGAGTCTAGTTAGGGCATTTTACCCATTAACTGCCCGACACCCTGTAGAATGATTTTCCCTTACAGTTTTGGCTGTGCACTCTTTGATTACCTCTTCATTCAACTTTGATGGTGTAATACATGTTTATGGAGACAATAGATAATTTAGTCTTTCCTTTAGCATCATTGAGCAAAATATTACTGATGGTCTATACATTTCTTGCAGCTTCACACCTTTTTTTTTGTTTCTGCCATGTGAATTTCCAAAGTTCTCAAAATTGCAAAAATCTCACAAATTTCTTTCAAATATGAACTGTAAGATTTGAAAGATTTTTCCACAAAATGACTTTCAGTTTTATTCATTTCTATCCTTGTTTTTTTAACCTCTGACCAAATATTTCTAAAGCTGGATGTTGTGGGACCACATTCACATCTCATTTGACTTTTGTCTTCACTGTCACATCATGACATTGTAGAATGGGTCAGCATGGAGGAGGACAGCCATTTCCTGGAAGTCCTTCCTATGCCAAGATAGCTAACAACATGCAGAAGTAACAAGGCACGGGGACATATCACACAAATGAAATCCTGGAATCAACTTCTTTTTAGCTAGATCCTCAAAATGCCCAGGCCACTCCACAGCCGTCTGATAAGAGGAGGGACACTAATGGAGGGAAAATAGGACTGGAAACAGACAGAGGTCTTAACTGATTGTGGTTAAAATATTTCTCTTTTTTAAACTTTACCAAATCTTAGGACTATGTCAACACATCACTATACCAGTAAGGGGCCTGAATACTATGCTTTATTAATTTCATGGTAAAACTGTCTCTTCCTGGGTAGTAAGATACCCCTGCCCCACTGTTAGGTCATTAAAGGGAGAGTAGATCCAAGAGCGTGGGATTTGTTGACGAGAGTGATATGACAAAGTTCCAGAACATACCCAACAGGCCATGGCAGACAGATTTCCCATCTTGTACAGTTGTGCTTCTCCCCAGAGGACATGAGACTGTGGGATAAACATGGGAGGGTCATTTTACTGGATGGATGGTGATGGTGGTGGGTGAAGGGGAGGTGGGGTTAGGCCATTTCACTGTTAGTTACCATTTTCATATTGAAATATTTAAAAAATGTCAATCCCACTTATAAAGTATATTGATCACATGTGAATTTTTAGGTCGAAATAATCTTCCAGAAGAATTTTTCCCTTTAAGTGGCCTGTGTTAGGGGCATGGCCATGACCTTTCCACAGTTAGGGCTTTCTTGGTAGGAAATTCAGAGAAGTGTATTTTGACTAAAAGTTCCATCTTATAATGGTCTATGGTCTCTTGTCCACCAGTGTGACACTGCTGATGTCACTGGAACTGACAGGTTTTTATTTGTTTTTTTCATAGTCGTGGTTCTTCACACAACCTTTTTGTATGGATAAGGAATATGGCATAGAGGTTAAGAGTGAAGGTCTTTTTTTGTAATGCTTATTTATTTATTCTGAGAGAGAGTGTGTGAAAGGGGGAAGGGCAGAGGGAGAGGGAGACAGAGGATCTAAAGAGATTTGAAGCAGGCCCTGCTGTCAGCACAGAGCCTGATACAGGGCTTGAACCGTGAGATCATGACCTGAGCCAAAGTCAGATGCTTAACCGACTGAGTCCCCCAGATGCCCCACAAGTGCAGATTTTGGTGCCAAAATGTGGCTTTTCCTTGGGCTCCACTACTCACTTTCTGGATGCCTCACCATTCTGTTTCCTCCTCTGTAAAATGGGGATCATGAATCATGCAGTTATTATGAGCATTAACTGAATTAATCTTCGGCATGAGTCAGTGCCTGGCACAAAGTACGTATGCTATTTGTCATGTCAGCTACTTGAATGATATCTCCGTGTGTGACTCCTACGCGGCCTCTTCCCTTTACTTATTATCCATCCTCGCTGAGAGACAAGTTGTTGGCGTTCATGGTGCCACTTCTGAAACGTGTTGGAAGGCCCAGCTAATCAGGATGAGGCTCGCCACCAGGCCTCATGAGGGCCATGGTCCACTCCCATCATATTTTGAGCAGGTGTCTTATGGCAGAAACTTTTCACTCCGAATAAAATCATGTAAAATGTGGCTGCTTAGTTTAAATCAGAGGTGGGATGTCCAGAAGCCCACCTATTTGTGCCCCGTCTGTAGTACTGTCCCCAATTTATCCTTCTACAAATCCACAGAGTCATAATCCTGTGTGCCAACCGAACTTCTAGCCAAATTGTCAGTTGGAATGATTTGAGTTTCTTCTCTGGGTCCTGCCCTGTGTATTTTATAGTTTTAGGTGGAAGAAAATTGAGGGCTAGCTGTCCTCATTTTAGATTCAACTACCACTTATTGAACATCTAAACATCATGCCACAAACTCTCATTATTAACCTGAAAAGTGTGCATTGTATTTTCAGATGCATCTAGTAAGCCTCAGAGAGTTAAGATCCTTGCTCACAACAGAACCATCATGACTTCGAAACACTTCTTAAAATGCTCTAGACTTTATGCCCACCTTTTAGTGCAACTGAAATCGGTCTCAACTTGCATTTATATAAAACTCTGTTATGTAAAAAATTCTTTTACTTTTGAAATGTTGGCATTTGGTACTCAAATATCATTTTTTTCTCCTCAAGTATTTGTTCTCAAACTAGGCTTTTCCAGTTGACAAAATTGAGTCTCTGAAGATTGGTTGAAGACCACAGAACAAGTGAGAGACATAACTAGGATTCCAACCAGGTCATCTGGCCTCAAGCCCAGGGTACCCAGCCCACCATGACTCAGGTGAAGGTGAGAGGACTTTTATTCCTTCTGTCCCACCGTGGCCAGTTTCCTGGTAGAAAACATTCTTGGTGACCCCCACATCAGGATTTTCTTTCTTTTTTTTTTTAAATTTGTCTTTTACATTTATTCATTTTTGAGAGACAGAGAGAGACAGAGCAGAAGCGGGGGAGGGACAGAGAGAGAGGGAGACACAGAATGAAAAGCAGGCTCCAGGCTCTGAGCTGTCAGCACAGAGCCCGACGCGGGGCTCAAACTCACGAGCTGTGAGATCATGACCTGAGCTGAAGTCAGACGCCTAACCGACTGAGCCACCCAGGGGCCCTAGGATTTTCTTAATATGGTTCAACTTAGCTCTTTCTGCCCATGGGAGCCTAGCCCTGATCACAAGCATCTAGAGCTTTCCTTTTGTTTCCCCACAACCATTTGTACCTGGCACCATGGGAGGTTAGCCGGGTGGTGGAGAGCCTTGCAACGTAATCCCCTTCATTATTCAAGGAAAATGGCCTTGTTGCTTAAGAGAGGTGAAATAAAGGGATATCTGTACTTGGTATCCATTAAACGTCCTGCTTAAACTTCCCTCTGCTCTCTACAGTTGGTAGAACAAAACATAAAGAGGAGTGATGCGGTTTGCATTCCAATTCTACCTCTTAAAACTCTGTGACCTTGGGGAAGTCATTTTACCTCTCCAGGCCTCTGGTTTCTAATCCACAAAAGGATAGTTCACCTGTCTGAAATGGGCTTGTGTTACCACTAGGGGGCAGACAAACACAACCCCTGAGGGGCTTCGTAGCTGCCACACAAGAGCAAAGGATGAAAAGTTTTAATACGAATAACGCAAATATAAATAAATTCAAAGAACATTTTTTAATGAGATAAAATGTAGACTTTCTGATTGGGTCTTTGAGGACTCCCGATTCTGGGTTGCACTCTTAATGTTGTTCGGGTTCAGATCAACCTGCACTGTAGGTTACAATACTGTCTAGCATTTACTGAGTGCTTACTGTATGTGATGTACATGTTCCCTTTAATCTGAACAACAAATTGTTTAACGTGGGCAACGTCCATGCTTTTCCTAGAAGGACCCTGAAGCTCAGCGAGGTTAGGTGACTTGCCCAATGTCACTCAGCTGGCAGCTGGCAAAGCTAGGATCCCATGTTTTTCCAGTTGCTCCCAGGCAGACCCTGCTTTTTACATCCCTAGTGCCCCCCTCTCAAAGGCTCCTGTATATGTGTGTGTGGCCCACTGCACCACTGCAGTCACCCAAGGGCACGATGATGTCACAGAAACACTTTTCCCTTTGTATGAATGATTCTAATTTCATAAAGCCATAGACATTTCTAGTATGCAAAAGATTAAGTCATGACAGTATTTCTGGAACATTATTGGATTCACCTGTTCTGTCTCCATTCATCCCACACAGGTCTAAAGTCCACACCGCACTTTCCCATACAGGCTGCTGCTTCTCAGAGGCCCTCCGCCTTCTCCAGATCCTCTGCTGTTGTATGTCCTCATGGCACACAAAGGAGAGTCCATTGTAAGCTGCAAGTGCCCCGTAAGATTCATCACAAATTCTTCCTTCTGACCCTCACTGGTCTTCATCCTCCCCACCCACCCCATCTCACCTTAGCTAGGGTTTTGCATGGACCTGCTAATTTGCATGATTTCCATCCAATGTAAATGAATGTTTGTTTCCTAACAACATCTAGCATTTGAAACATCCTTTTCTCTTAACCCCACACTTATCTGTTACTTCTCATTTTTCACGTCAAGTTCAAAATGTCTCCTCTACAATGCTTTCCTGAGATATCACTACTCAACTTGGAATGTGTCTGCTTAATTTTTATTTTCTATTTTATTAATTCTGTCACTTTGTGTATTGGTTCTCAGATCACCAGTTTTATATGTTTGTAATATGTTCCTGTCTGGACTGCAAGTTTCTTAAAATCACTGGCATTTGATTTTTCCAAGTATTTAATTGAGTATTAATAATAATATATACTCACTGAACTGATCCTTATTTATGAAGCAGGGATCAGATCCAGAGCATGATTTCACTAGCTCAGTGGATCATCAGAATGCCCCCTGGGTGGCATTCATGAGCACCTATGATGTTCCCCATTTTGTGTTTTGTATTCTAATGCATAGTCTGGTATCATCTTCTCAGTAACCCAGTGACGAAGATACTACAATTTCCAGTGAGCAAATGACATATGTAATGGTAAGTAGTCTTGTCCAGAGGTACAGTGCTGACTAGGGTGGGATTTGAATTGGGGGAGTCTGACTCCAGAGCTCTATGTACCTTATGTCCAGACTTTGGTACTGCTTGGTCTTGAGGTTTCAGAGCTGGGGATGTGGGAGAGAGGACAAGAGTAACGATGGCAAGAACGAGAAAAGTGGAGTGGGGTAGCTGGTGGAAGTCTTCTTATTCTCCAGTCTTCCTATAACCCTGAACACTTTGAATAAGTTCTACCCAAAGTCATGAAATGTTTGAGACCAGAGTTCTTACAGAGACTCTGGAGCGGGTGAGTAGCTCCAGAAGAGCAGAAATCTTGGTAGAATACATATCTCTAAAAGAAATAGGTACCTCAGCTAATTCAGAACAAAAGTTACTATTTTGGCCACTAATCTCTAAAACGAAACCCAAACCAACAACAAAAAAACATATATCACTTTGAACTAAAATGATTCAACTCAATGCCAAGTAAAACTCGGTCCCCAGTTGAGATTCACTAGGCTTTTGTGATCCTCCCAAGCCTTCTCTTGATACTGTCACTGCTGTGTGGTCACCGTGGGGATAGCTCTTAGCATTGGGAGTGCAGTCAAGAGGGGAAAAGCAAAGGCTGGAGCTCCCCCTTACCCTTCTGTCTGCTTCTTTGAATCTGTTGTAGCTGCTGCAGAATAGAGGCCTAACACTCAAAATGGCCGTAAGTCTCTTACTCTTTGGTTAGTACTGGTGTTAACATTGAAAACTTTGAACCACTGGACTGGCCCAGATAGTGGTCATCAGATGAAGATTATAAACAACTTGGCTAGAGAGTATCAACTAAATATTGGATATGGTTAGTCCGAGCTTGTGCTTTACTGTTTCTCTGCTAGCGAACAAGGAGGAGGTGGTGAAATTAGCTTTTAGCTGGGCTTCAGGTAGTGGGGAAGACTGGGATTGAGTGCTGCATTGGCAATTCTGGTGGATGCTCAGGAACATACTAGGGGGTGATGAAATTGGATGTGGTATCCAAGAACAGAACATCAGGTAAGTGGTACCCAAATCTGGCTAATTATTGACGCTATCCTATGGGTTAAAAAAATACAGACGCTAGGAGCGCCTGGGTGGCTCAGTCAGTTAAGCATCTGACTTCGGCTCAGGTCATAATCTCACAGTTTGTGAATTCCAGCCCCGCGTTGGGCTCTGTGCTGAGAGTTCAGAGCCTGGAGCCTGCTTTGAATTCTGTGTCTCCCTCTCTCTCTCTCTGCCCCTCCCCCACTCGCTCTGTCTGTCTGTCTCTCAAAAATAAATAAAAACATTTAAAAAGTTTTTAAAAATACAAATGCTAGATGCTGCACAGGACTGTTGAACCTTTTTAACCATGAGGGATGAACAGCTGCATTCAAAAAATAAAAATTCCCCAGGAGATTTTGATCATCATTTTGAGAAATAACATACTTGAGGAAGTATTCCACTATTGTTCTTTACTTTTTCTTGACACTTCTTCCTCATTTCCTGGTTGAGATCCAGGATTGTTTCTCTGATTACAAAGATCAATTATCTGAGCAAAGGGATATGTGGATAGAACCTTCAGAAGGATTTATGCCATCCTTTGTGTGTGTGTGTGTGTGTGTGCGCGCGCGCGCACGCGTGCATATATGCATTTGAAATGACTTCATAATTAAACCTAACAAAACTGCTATTTTAAATCTTGGTTTCATTATGTGCAATATGATAATGGTTATAATAAAAGTGATGATACATTTAAACCATCCCAACAGCATCAGCTGTGAATCACTGCCCTGTCCATGGCTGCTGTAGGTAGACTTTGGCCTAATCCCACAAGAGAGTTATGATTTATTCTCTTCTGAACTTTTAGTCTCTCATAGACTTCCCAACAATAGCACAAGATCAGTACAATGCCCTTAATGACAACTTCCCTTTTCTCAGGCTTTCTATTGCAGGGCAGTGGTTTTCAACTCAATAGATTGGCCAGTGGGAAGTCTATAGTGAAATCAGAGTTGTGCCTGTAAGTTTGCTTGGGGATTACCTCAATAAACTCTAGGAAATAGAACTCTTTCTGTAGAAGAATCAATAATACTTACCTGCCTTGGGGCCAGTTCTGAAACAAAGGACTATGTCACTGGTTATAGTTCTATTTCTAAATTAAGGGATGCAGAATGTTCTTAATTACCAGAACCTGACAAAAATGAATATGGTGATTAAATACCCATTGTGTTTATCAGAGAAAGCAGAAAACCAGTGTTGGAGATTCTGTGATTTGCTATATATACAAATAAACTAAAAAAAAAAAATCAAAGCTACAATTCCCAATCAGGTGTCTCCAAAATAAATAATGAGTAGGGAAAAGAGACTTTTTGTTTAAAAAATTTTAAATCCTAATAAAAAGCGTAGGACTTCTATGAAAAGACCAAAAAATAAATTAATATTTCTTGGGAATCAAAACATTTTAAAGATTGGGCATGTGAAGGTATAGAAGGAAATAATAACATGTAGAAAGGGTGAAATTTTGCTTCAAGGTATTCTTACTCAAAAAGAGACCGAGTTCCTTGTATCCCATTGTATTTTTAATATAGACTTGAGCATTCTTATTTAGGATAGTGGATCCCAACTGCTTAGTTGCTTAAAACTTCACTTTTCCCCAATACACTCTGTGAAATAGCATTTGTAGTTTCATCTCATAATAATTGGGGTGATGCATAGTTACAAGGCCACAATTAATTTAATAGTATTTCAAATTGTTGGTGTTTGATAAACCGGGCAGTATAGATAAGCTATATATGATTAAAAATAGTAGCCACTAGGGGCACCTGGGTGGCTCCGCCGGATGAGTGTACAACTTCGGCTCAGGTCATGATCTTGTGGTTTGTGAGTTCGAGCCCTGCATCGGGTTCCGGGCTTATAGTTCAGAGCCTGGAGCCTGCTTCAGATTCTGTCTCCCTCTCCCTCTCTCTCTACCCCTCCCCCGCTCACGCTCTGTTCTCTCTGTCTTTCAAAAATGAATAAATGTGAAAAAAAAAATAGTAGCCACTCTATGTGCAAGAAAATTTGTACAATCTATGGACAAGATTTGAAGATGTATGTTTTGAAAATATGGATTCTTCTACCCTCTTTATATTATCTCCAAATTTCCAGGTGATCCATGGTCCACACATCTGGCATCACTACTTTACAGAGTGAAAGTAAGAATAGTGGATGGTTTATTAACCTTTTCCTGAGACACATTATCAAACGTCTCTTGGCCGAAATGTATTCTCTCCTACCTGTGTCTGTGTTGACCACCACTTATATCTGGTAGAGTGCATCTTGTTGATTGCAATCCTTAGCAACTCTAGTATGCGATTCAACAGCATGATGTGGGACTAGAAAAACAGAACCAGGGGAGAGCGCCCAGTTTCTAGTGTTGGATTGGGACCTGGGGTTAATCATTTTGTCTCCCTTTTTAGGTCCAACATAAAGACAGTAATGCTCCTGTTATTAACCCAGCTCACAAGGGACCAAGAGGAATGAAGTTAATAAGAAGGAACAATCTGAAAGCTCTGGCTGAAAGGTATTATTTAAGCCACTGGAGAAAACTATCCAATTATGGATAAGGGAGTAGAACTGATGTAAACTTGTGGGTTTTTTCCATTTATGTAAATTAATGGTAAGAGGTCTAGAACGTACAATTTTCTTACTTACATTTTATTCTTTTGCTGGTAGATAGAAATAAAGGCACCCAGCTGCAAAAGAAAGTTGAGAATAGTGGGACTGAAATAGCTATTCTTCTTGTTTCCTTGCCCTGTAGCTAGCCCGGTCTGTTATTCACGCTGCACTTTCTGGCAGTGGCTTGCCCCCCCTCCACCCCCCCCCCCCCGCACGCACCCCGCCTCCCACACCAAGCAATACCCAGTGCTCCGTGCGGTGTAAAGATTCTTTGGAAGTGGTTTAGATGAATACATAATAATTTTTCATACATTCAAAATACTGTTTATTCCTTGAACTCACAAGAGAGAAACTCTAATCATGGCAATATTAAGTACTATAATGAACCACAGGATAGCAGATGGGCCCTGGGGTAAACCTTTTCTGTACTATTGATTTACTTATTTGGTTTCCTTGTAAAATGTCCATGACCTGAACCATTGCTGCAGAATACAAATACAAGTTTCTGACCCAAGCCAAACATTAAGATTTTTTCTTTAAAACAATCTGAGGGTTTTCTGGAAAGCAAAAAGAAGGCTGGTTAGTGTCTTGGGCCCTGGAAATCAGAGTTTTGCAGTTTTGTCAGCTTTGTGAGGATGAATTCTCCATAGAGAGTACCATAGCTTCTTCTTTTTTTAAATTTATTTATTTATTTTGAGAGAGAGAGACAGAAAGAAAGAAAGAGAGAGAGAGAATGAGAGGAGGAGGGGCAGAGATCTCACAAACCATGAGATCATGACCTGAGCCGAGTCGTCTGAGTCAGATGTTTAACCGACTGAGCCACCCAGGGGCCCCAAGTGTACCACAAGAGCTATCATCATACCACCAATATGATTTCATTTCCAGAAACCTCTGTTTAGAGCTCAATATGTGTTTGGCATTCTGTTATAAACTGTCATGACATGAGGATATGAAGATATGATTTTTGTCCTCAAAGAAATATGTTATATTTATAACATTTTTTACAATTTACTAGAGTTCGCAGAAGAAATATAAATATATCAGATGCAAACTTAATGCCTTAAGGGCCACATAGACCGTGTCATTGTGTGAGGCTATTATAAGACCTTAGGGAGCAGTGGAGACTGTGGCCAACTGGGAATGTATTACCCTCTTAAGTTCAAATTCACATTAAAACACCTACTCTATTGTTCAAATGAAATACATATTTGGGCTGTATTTACCTACACCCTTTTCAGATACACAAACCCTTATTTGAGCTTCTAACAACGATTTGAAGTTGACTTCATTGCAAATGAAGAGACAGAAGCTCTGTGAGAGGGAAGTCTTGGACAAGGTAACTTAGCTAAAAACTGGGAGGGCAGGGATAAGAAATTGAAGTTCTATGGCCCCATGCCCAGCTGTTTTTATTAAAAACTTGTAGGTCAGGAAGAGGCAGAAATTGCTAACAATTTTGGTATTTCCTCTTTTATCTAAGTCATCATCCAAGGGCCCCTCCTCTGCTTCTGATAGCCACTCTCCCCATATTTTCACACAATAAAGAATGCAGCATGTGTATGCAATACCTTACAGTTAACATGCTTCTGGTATATCGGAGGTCTCTGAGTTGCTTTCAATACATTGATTGGCTCTCTGAAGATGAGAAGTGGCTGAGGAAAATAGCTTGATGCAAAGGGGAGCTGCTGCCTTCCCAGTAGGCTGGTCTATCCGCAGTGGACCCAACAGAGAGATTCAGACCTCACCAGGGCTGTCTGGGTAGGGTGTTCCAGAGGATGGATACAAATCAGATAGCACTTGAGGTGCTATCTTTAGGCCACATTCAAGTACCAAGATATGGGCTTCTGAGTCAGAAGGAATTGGATGCAAAATGTCTTTTCCTGGGCAACCTTGAACAACTGCTTAAACCCTCAATATCAATTTTGTTGTTTGAAAATGGAGAAAAATTATTATGAGGACCAAGTAAGTAAATATATTTAAGCCAGGTGTTAAGGGCACAGTTACTGAATAGTAGGTGCTCAGTAAAGGGTGGTTCTCCTCTCTCCCTCTTTGTTTCTCCTTCGTGCCCAGTGGAGGAGGCTTGTGGCCATGCTGATAAAAGGAGCAGTTGGGAGGTAAAAGGAGCAGTTGGGAGTTGTGTCCTGAGTGCTGAAAGACCACAGTGCTCACTGGCACGACCAGTACAGTGTTGACAGGGACAATATCTGCCTTGGGATGCTCCAAATATCGTGTCACTCTTAAGGGACAGTGAACAGGAAATAAGTTGTGAAAAACAAAGTGGAATTTCTGGAAATGGCTGGCATAAAAGCTCTTGAAGGGGTCACATGCAGATTAGCATAATTTTTATTACATGTTCTATTTTTGTCCTGTGAGATACTTATTTGGATTTCATTGTGCCCATTGTGAGGCTTTTGTTCTGAGGCTGTGAGTTTAATTATTTAGTTATTTATGAGTGCATCTGGGCATAAGTGCCACAGTTTTATTTCAGTGACAAATTTATGGTCAGTGAATTTTAGTAATTAATGAATAAATTATTTCTCCTTCATAAATGCCTCTGCAATTTGTGATTTCCATAACAATTCATAATACTTAAGAAAGGTTCTTTATTAGTTGAAAAATCCAGTGCTAATGGAATCAGGAGAGGGAGATTTTAAATTGCTTTAATTAACTGTGTTAATTAATACCCAACATGTGTAAGATATTGGATTGGCTTTGGCTGGCTTGATTAGAAATTAGTTGCCTAAAATCTGCCTAATATATAAATGTACTTTGTTAAAAGAAGCAAATGACAGGAATAAAAGGGCTTCCTCTTTTATAATCTTTGATTCCTGGCTTACCCCTGAAATTTTCCAAAAAAAAAAAAAAAAAAAAAAAAAAACCTTAAAGACACTCTATGATGTGATTTCAAGGAGTTAGGGCAGCTTATAAGAGTTTGTATGTTTCAAATCTTTTTCAAGATAATCAATACAAAAAATGTAAATAAACCTTATTCTCCACAAATCATTGCACTAAGTGGACTGGGGCAAAAAAAGATAAATAAGAATAATCCTTACCTCTGTAGAGCTCACAGTTGAGTGAATATGGAAGACACACAGGTATTTAAATGGGGAGTTGAGAAGAGTTTGGACAGGAAGAAATGCTGAGTATTCAGCATTCATCCAGTATTCTGGGTACAGAAGACAGGTACACAGCCAAACAGACTATTTCCTTGAGGTTGATGAAAACTTAGTTTTAGATCCTCCCAGGGCTAGCATATGGTTCTTCAGTGGAAAATACCAAGAATTATTGTTGATTTCTGTTTTCCCTCACACCCACACCTATCTCATCAACAATTCCTGTCAGTTCTACTTTCAAAATATGTATTGAATCTGGACACTTATCACTTCTACAAATACTACATAGTCTAAGCCCCTTCCCAGACTCCCAGTTTCCACCTTGACACTTTCCAAGCAATTCTTCACCCAGTAGTCAGAGCATTTCCTGCTCTGATCTAGTCACGTGGGCTTCTTGTTTCTCCAACAGGCTAACTTATTCCTGGCCCAGGGCCTTTGCATTTGCTGAGATTATTCCCTCTTTTGGAATAATTTCCCTCCATACTCTGAGGCCTGATTTACTCCCTCATTCAGATCTCCGTTCAAATGTTACGTCCTTACAGAGACATATCCGACTACCCTATTTAAAATAACCTCCTCCTGGGAAGGCAAGCTGGTGCAGCCACTCTGGAAAACAGTATGGAGGTTCCTCAAAAAACTAAAAATAGAACTACCCTACAACCCAGCAATTGCACTACGAGGCATTTATCCACGGGATACAGGTGTGCTGTTTCGAAGGGACACATGCACCCCCATGTTTATAGCAGCACTATCAACAATAGCCAAAGTATGGAAAGAGACCAAATGTCCATTGATGGATGAATGGATCAAGAAGATGTGGTATATATATACAATGGAGAATTACTCGGCAATCAAAAAGAATGAAATCTTGCCATTTGCAACCACGTGGATGGAGCTGGAGGGTATTATGCTAACTGAAATTAGTCAGAGAAAGGCAAATATCATAGGACTTCACTCATATGAGGACTTTAAGAGACAAAACAGATGAACATAAGGGAAGGGAAACAAAAATAATATAAAAACAGTGAGGGGGACAAAACAGAAGAGACTCATAAATATGGAGAACAAACAGAGGGTTACGGGAGGGGTTGTGGGAGGGGGAGATGGGCTAAATGGGTAAGGGGCACTAAGGAATCTACTCCTGAAATCATTGTTGCACTGTATGCTAACTAATTTGGATGTAAGTTTTAAAAAATAAAAAAGTAAAATTAAAAAAAATCTCCTATGCCCCACTGACCTTTTTTTTTTTCAATCATAGCATCTGTATCAATCAGGGTTCAAGCAGAGAAATACACATGATATCTACATGTGTTGCCAGAGTTTGATGTTCATACTACCATAGTCAGGAAGGGAAGGTAGATGTGGAGAGGACAGATCAAGGGCTGCCTGGGACCCCACAAGGACAGACTGAAACCTGTGTCCAATTTTTGGCCTCCGACCTTGCTGACAAGGAAGGGTATCCTGCAGAAACCAAAGCCTTTCATCGGGGAGCCACACACACACCTAGCCCAGGACTCAACCTGGCCCAGGTATCAAAGAAGCAGAGGGAGGATCAGGAAAGGTAGTCCCAGCTACTGCTTCATGCCAGGGGTATGAGTTAACTCAGCAGATCATCAACAGTATGTGTGAGCTAAACAGGAAAGGCTGCTGGTCCCCTTCAACTCTCTACACCTTCCAAGACTCCTCCTCTGGTCTAACAGGAAAGATGTGAGAAGTGGAAATGTAGTTCAGCCCAGCCAAATAGACACATGACAAACCCATCACAGTCTCTATAGTACCTAACATTGTGCTGTATATTTATTTGTTCCACGAAAGCAGGTATTTTTTCCTTGTTTTCAATAGAGTGGTACTTGGTACATAGTTGATACTCAATGAATATTTATAGAATGAATATAGTAAACATCTAAAGGTGAATATCCAGGTGAATATAAGGTCAACATACTCCTAGGTCTAAGACAGGAGTAAGGGTCAAAGGAAGAGGTTGGGAGGGCAGGTTAACTGAACTGGTGACCGATTTATTGAGTGAGCTGGACCTTACGTGGAGACCGTGAGCAGGAAGTAAATCCATTTTTCTCCCTGCCCATTCAAAGACACTCTGGGCTCAGACTTTTCCACTCTTGGACAAAATTTTAGGCAATCCCCAAAGCATTTATGAACTTTGCAGTTAATCTGGGGTCATTTGACCAAGGTCTGTCTAATAGAATATGGACTGAAGAGATGCTGCTTTTCTTTTCAAGACCAGAACTCAAAGGGATCCAAGTAGCTAATGATAATCAGAACTTGGACACCAGAACCAGGAGCTGAGGCACAAGCTCCTGAGTGTCCATCGAATTACAGATCCTAGTAAGTGTGTTTGTCCGTGTGGGTCCTTGAAGAAACAGTGCGTCTTTGATGGGGGAGGGAG